GAAAGGAACCCGGACAGGGTCGCGTCCTCCGAGAGTCACTGCTGGGGGCGGTGCTTGCAGAAGAGGGATTCTCCACTATTTTCTTTTATTTTTTAAATTTGTTTTTATTGTTGGCAGTATTACAGATGTTCCCCATCTCCGCTCTTTTGCCCTCCCGCCTCCACCCCAGGCCTTCACAGTACTATTGGCTGTGTCCATGGGTTATGCATGTAAAGGGTGTCCCAAAACCATGTATACACACTTTGAATAGTTATAAAAGCAGTGTTTATTAAAATGCATTTCATTTTCAAAATTGAGCTATCAGTTGTTAAAGTGTGTGTGCATCTGGCGGGGGGCGGGGGGGGGCACCCTGTATGCATCTAGATGCTTTGGTTAATGTCTTCCCATCCCTCCCTCCACCCCCCACCCCCCTCTAAAATCTGCCAGTCTGTTCCATGCATCCATGTCTTTGGACCTATTTTTGTTCCTCAATTTATTTTGTTCATTACATTCCACATATAGTGAGATCATGTGATATTTATCTTTCTCTGGCTGGCTTATTTCGCTTAGCATAATACTCTCCAGGTCCCTCCATGTTGTCTCAAAGGGTAAGAGAGCCTTCTTTTTACAACTGCGTAGTATTTCATTGTGTAGATGTACCACAGCTTTCTTATCCAATCATCTGCTGATGGGCACTTGAACTGTTTCCAGATCTTAGCTATTGTAAATAACACTGCTATGAACATAGGAGTGCATTCTTTTGAATTGGTGTTTCGGGATTCTTAGGATATATTCCCAGAAGTGAGATCTCTGGGTTAAAGGCAGTTCCATTTTTTATTTTTTGAGGAAACTCCATACTGTTCTGCACCAGTCTGCATTCCCACCAGCAATGCACGAGGGTTCCTTTTTCCCCACCTTGCCAGCACTCGTTGTTTGTTGATTTATTGATGATAGCCATTCTGGCAGGTGTGAAGTGATACCTCATTATTGTTTTAATTTGCATCTCTCTGATGATCAGTGACTTTGAGCATGTTTTCATATGTCTCTTGGCCATCTGAGTAGACACTTTGGAGAAGTGTCTATTCAGGTACTTTGCTCACTTTTTAATTGGATTGTTTGTCTTCCTTCTGTTGAGTTGTATGAGTTCTTCATATATTTTGGAAATTAACCTCTATCAGATGTATCATTGGTGAATATGCTTTCCCATACAGTGGGTTCCCTTTCCATTTGGAGGATGGTTGGGGCCTCAGAAGTTTTGTTTCTATCCTTAAAATGTCTCTTTAAGCTGTGTCCAAGATGTGTGTCCTTTCTTTTCCTGCTTTAGGACCACAGAGAACCCAGAGTGTTTGTTGGCTGTGGTTCTTTGGGGTTGAGGCTTCATTCACCTGTTGAGACCCCCTGGGTGTCGCTCAGCGGGGGGACTTTAGGTCTCTCTGGGGACTGGATCCTACACAGGCCCCAGGAACCCGGACCGCTGCCCGCCCCCACACTGACAGGCACTGGGTCCTTGCTTTCCCTTGTCCGGACCTAGATTTCCTCTTACAAGTGGGTAAGTCTTTAAAGTCCCTTCAACTTTTGGTGCATTTGAGGGACAAAGAAACTTTCAACCTCTCTCATAAATTATCTACGTCAGCCATGTGCCTCACATTTTTACTCTTCTTTACATAAAGAACATTCGCACTAGCCGGTTTGGCTCAGTGGATAGAACGTAGGCCTGCGGACTGAAGGGTCCTGGGTTTGATTCTGGTCAAGGACACATGCCTGGGTTGCGGGCTTGATCCACAATAGGGGGCGTGCAGGAGGCAGCCGATCAATGATTCTCTCTCATATTGATGTTTCTATCTCTCTCTCCCTCTCCCTTCCTCTCTGATATCAATAAAAATATATTTAAAAAAACAACACTCCGCGTCATCTCTGCATCGTTGTGAGCTCCCGTGTGCAGGTATCTACCTCGAGTATTGTAAAAGCACCCTTCTCTCTCCCATTTCTTCCTGTGTTCCCTGGGGTGGGAACATGTCTGTTCGGCATAGGGACCCCCACCTCTGCCACCACCTGAAGGCGTTCACCGGCTGTGGGAAGCTTGCTATGGGACCGCCTCCAAAATGCAGGAGTGCTCACACTCCCAGCCTGGGCCCTCTATCCTGCAGGGATACGGCCTCAGCTTCCTTCACCCCTCCATGGGTCTGTGGGAACCAGGCTCGCCCAACAGGACCACTGCCTCTTTTTTCCATGGTGATTGGTTTAACATAGAAAACTGATTCAAATCTGGTCAATCTGATTTTCTTTGGAATTTTTCTACCAGAGCTATGGAGAGAGACTCCCCACCTCTGGAGCTGCGTAGCGGGAAGATTGTGGGGGACACCCTGCAGCTCTCCTGACATCTTACAGAGGGAGGATTCAGCTTACCATCCCTTTGCATTAGGCCGGGCCACATGGACATTATCTTCTTGCCAATGGAATGTAAACAGTGATGTACCCCCCTTCCTAGTCTGGACCTTAGAATTTGAGCAGGCCTTCTCCGTCGCCTGGAGGCAGGACGTACAATCAATAACAATAGAGGAACCCAAGGTGTAAGAAATTTACCAAGACTCATTGTTTGCTGGGTCACAAAGCAAACCTTAACAAATTTCAAAGGATCCAAAGAATTTTGAACATTTTCTATGACTTCAGTGGAGCTAAGCTGCTTGGAAATTAAGTAATACACTTTTAAAAATTGAGACATACTTGACATTTCATTCTCTTTGTTTTAGGTGTACAACATAATGATCACTAATGAAAACTGCAGTCCCTACACTGAAAATGATAAAAATGTAAATTTTTTTTCTTTTTCTTTTTATTAATTAAATCTTTATTGTTCAGATTATTACATTTGTTCTTCTTTCCCCCCTCCCCCCCATAGCTCTCCCC